CCCACCCCCCCCCCCCCCCCCCCCCCCCCCCCCCCCCCCCCCCCCCCCCCCCCCCCCCCCCCCCCCCCCCCCCCCCCCCCCCCAATATTAAGGGATTTATGCACAAAGGAACTAACGTCGTCACAATTTTGGCTATGTTATCGAGTTGTCGGTGACGAATTAGTAAGAATATACGGAATATATCTATCTGGTTATTGGTAAGCTCTGCATCAGCATACCTAAGGTATCTTACCCGCTTGGCTTTTCTATACCACCTAGGTACCTAATGTATAAAAAAGGTATGCGATCATGAGCATTGGGGGCCGACGCCTTGAAACATGAACGATAACGATGAAACGAGGTGAACCACATAGTTGGGTAAGGCTTTTAATCACACATGATCAAATATCCGACATGGTTTCTTTACCGACTCTAGGTATACTTGTAAGTGACCACGTACTACGTAGAACTCAGCCACGTCGTATCTTAAGCAGGAGTGGTTAATCCTTATTAATCTTGCTAAAGTGAGAGATGTGACATAGAGGTACCTACCTACGTTAGTGTATTTCTAAAAAATAGGGGGTTCACCGGGTCACCTTAAAAGTTACCAGGTACCCATGTATCGTACCCTATTATCGGTACCAAACCTGCCAGAATACAGCTGCTGTCAATTGCTGCGTCGTGCCCCTCCAATACCCCTCCGCGCTACGTAAAGCCCCACTATCAGTTTATCATCACTCCAAACACCTTGAAAGCGCATACTGCTGCTGCAATACTTATCACCAAACATCTCGGCGACTTATTCAGATTTTATACCAAATATACATTCAATACTTGATAATAAATTCACCGGACCAAAGATCTCTAGCCATTCAGTTGCTGGAATATTTAGAGCTGTCAACAATTTCACCCAATCGCCATGGCGTCCCCAAGCGATAGTCAACCAGCGACGTCGTCGTCGTCGTCAAGCCTTATAGAAACTATCCAACTCGAACATGTGCCATCGTCATATACGGTCCTCGTTGGTCTGTTCAAAGACGTCACCAATGCCGAGTTCTTACAACAGCAACTACTTAGCCGAAATGCCGAGTATGAGTATGCCTTCATCAATGCCAGTTCTGTACGTCGTCCTCTTAGCGTGTAAATATCAAAAAGCATTCGGGATATAAAAAGAATTTTAGTCCAGATTAGAAGTAGGATTTGATTTTTTTTTTAAAAAAAAAAATTAAAAATAAGAAAAGAATAAGAAAATATATACTAACATTTCGGTCTTTCTACCCACTCATAGGTAATATCGCGCCTCCAGGTTCTAGCAGCCGTATACAAGGCGATAACCATACACATGAGCGGCAGCATGAAGACGCCCAACATCCACTCCGAAATCGTGTGCTCTCTTAGTCCAAATAACAACGTGCGTAGTCTCATCTCTCTCTTTCTCACACACATACACTCTTTCCACCAATCTACTTACTTATTTCTTCTACATACCTACCACTCATCACTGATTCTAACCCGAACATACCTAACTTAACCATACTTACGCATTATACAGATCTCCGAAGCTTATCGCCGATTCGGCATCACCCCAAGCAGCAGCAAACACCTCATCATCGTCAAAGTACTAACACCCACTCCCACTTCCACTTCCACTTCCACCCCCACCCCCCAAGCAGCAGCAGAAACAGCAGTGGCAGTCCAGCAGCACCTCCTCGCCCACGTCCGGGGAACACCCACCCCCTTCACCGACGAGGCCATAACGCAGTCCGGCCTCACAGACTGGAGCAAGGTGCGCAAGTACTACAAGCTGAACGGCGTGGGCTGGCTCGACGGCGTCGAAGACTCGGCGCTGCGCCGCGCCGAGTCCGAGATGATGGTGCTGGGGAGCATGGCCCTGAGGAGTTTATAGTCGTGCATGAATTTCTAATCTCTAAGAGACAATAGAAGGGAGGGAAAGATTAGACGAAGAGGAAGTCGTTTTAATAAAAAATGTATAATGTAACCCATTGAAAATAACTAAATGCTAGGTATGGACAAGTTTCTTCGACTTTAATAACCGTCGTAAGTTTGTTTGCTTATTTCTCCCTTTGCCAAATTTAGGATATCATCTTGATTCTCCCATGATAGTAAACCATGATAGTAAAATTAGGTACCTAGTAAATACCCACATGCATTAGAATTCCATTAATTCATAAGTCATTGCGCCCGCACACCTAGACTTAGCAGGGTATATGCACGCTTTCGCCTTCCTATCGAGTACTCGTCGGTACTCTCACCTTATGCTACACCCACACCCGGCCATACTTATATATCCTCCCTCCCTGACCTTAAATTTACATCCTTCATGCCGTCGCTAGTCCTAGCGAAGCCTTAAATCGCCTCTTAACCTCATTCCACATGGCATCGCGCCCGCTCTTCGTCCTTGCTACGGCGTCCTTGTTCTCGTGCGCTCTTCTGAGTAGGTACTTCATGCATTCGCCAGTGGTGCCCCAAACGATGTATTTGTAGGCCTTCGGCACATCACCCTTATCTCGGACGTAGCCGTCGAGCTGCCGCGATGCGTATACCAATTCGCAACTGACCTCGTCCGCCATGCCCTGCAGTTGTGCGATTGCCAATTCGGTAGTGCGGTCTGCTTTCTCGCTGTCTCGAATCGCCCGGGCCTGGCGCACGGACTCGAGGTTGTGAGACCCTAATAAGATGCTGATACGCGGGAATTTGAGACCTTCCTCCGGCGACTTCAGCACGGAACCCCATTGTCGGCAAATTAGGCTCGCTGTGATTCCGTCGTACGCCGCGTCGGTGTCGGCTTTGGTATCGTGGATGATGTGTCGCGGGTCCGAGCCGAGATATGCGCCGCGCACGAGCTTAATACCTAACGTAAAGTCCTCCTTGGCGGCCACTGCGAGGTGTTCGGCAAGTGTCTTTGCTGTCGATTTTAGATAAGCCTGATATGTGCCGTAGATGAGAGCGTGGCCCGGGATCTTGTTAAACTTGCGTTGGTACTCCAGGGTCCAGTCGTCAATGCCGGGCTGGATTGCCATCTGCTCGGCGTCGAAGAGTAGAGGTACATCCCTTTCCGCAGCCAAGGCGCAAATATCGTCGATAGCCTTGCGAAGGTGTTTCGGTGGGGGTAGGCGGTTCTTTAGAGCATATAGAGCCTGTCGTCCGGCGCCGGTAAACTTGAGTGCAACAAAGTCCCCAGGCTGCGCAAGTTTCACTGTCTCCAAGGTTCCCGCCGCCCAGGGGCCGATCTCGTTACGCACGCATTCTTCAGCTACTGGTCCTTCTTCGCACGACGCGAGCTTCTGAGTTTGCTTATCGGTGAGGACGATCTCTCGGGCATACCCTAGAATGACGCCCGTAAAGCCGATCTTCTTGAGGCCGTCGATGGTGTGGCGGACCTCGGCCGCATTCTCACCTGCGCAGAATTGCGCGTAGAATGTCTTCTTCAAGAACCATCGAAGTAAGGGGTTTTTATCCGGGTTGAAGAGGGCCTGGTTGGAGTGTGCGAGGACGTTCATGATTGCTAAGGAAGGAGGTAATAGAATTGGAGAAGATGATATGCTAGTAGTGGCTAGGTTACGCAGCACCGTGGATAGAGGAAGAACCGACAGTGGCGGGGACTTTGCCATCGTAAGCGAAGGACCTGGTACTTCAGAGGGAAGATGGTTTACGGATGCCGTAGCAGCTAAAGCGGATTGTTCTGCGGGGAGTGAAGGCCTTGTTGAAGAAGAGTGTATCTTCCGCCTCGTCGTCGAGACTACTCTAAGTCTTTGATGCAAGCCATTGCGACTTATGCCATAAAGGCCGCATTGTGAGTTCCTTATCGTATTTGCATATATCGGTAGAAGGGACGACCTGCTTAACACGGAAGCTCGTACCATTGTTCGCGTTTCGGGGAGGTACTTTAAAGACCCTAGAGGGTAAGAGAAAAGTAAGCAGTTTATGAGAGATAAAGGACGGTAGGGCGGGTTATAGGAAAGAGGTGTAGGTAGGAACGATAGGAAAAGAAGCGCTTGGGCTAGAAGTAGGCAAGGAGGTAGGTATAACAAACAAATAGAAACAATGGAAAAGTATCAGTATAGAGCGGGAAGCTGTTACTTTAAACAGGCACGGATGAGGTATCTTAAATTTCTAGGTTACTGTTGTGTTATTCTAGGTTGATTCTTTATCTCCGGCATCGCAATGATCTCAGTCGCGTTGCTGAATGAAACCCCCGGCTGGGGCTGCATCGTACGGCATTAAGGAAACACCTCGAAGATGACGATTAGTCTAACCTCGAAGCTCCGATATTCCAATCACGACTCGATGTCAATCCACCGAGCGTTCTTATCGTTGATGATCACGTGGACCCATCGAGTCTCAAGAAATGCCGTCTGTAGCCGTGATGCGAAGACGCATTATATGCATCCATTGTCCAATCAGAGGTTGCGCCGCGGGGTAGCGGCATCAAAGGACGAGCCAGAGGTAGGTAGATTTAGGCTAGTGCGGACCGGTTGTTGAAGGTGGTCGAATATAGCAAGAATAACCCGGACAACCTACGCAAAAGATTCTGCATGGTTCGAGACCTCCGCGCTTAACGTGGGGTATCCCCTAAACCAAATCGACTAAGTTGACGCTTTTTGCGGATGGAGATGACATGCGACGTTGGCCGAACCCGCTGATTCATAATGATGGCTTGTCAGGTAAACTATAACGTAACTTCATCTCGACGAAGCCACGTGCCTTTGTTGGGTTAACTGGACCGTGATTATCTTCCCATATTCACCTAGATTCAATACTCGTCAGCACCTTATTAGAAGCCGTGATGACTTTTTGTATCCTTTTTTTTTTTTTTTTCTGTTTTCCTTTTTCTTTTTACCGTAACGTAGAGACCGCAATCTCTATCCGAACGAGTGGATAAGCTGCCTAGCGCAAACAAGACCCCATGTAAGCCTTAGGGAGCCGCAATCTACCTAGGTAGACATCCACAGCTCATCCACTGCTAAGGCCGAGGCCATACCAAAGCCTTAGCTTAAGTACATAGTACAGTCCCTTGGCGATGCTCTCGGCACAACGCGGATTTAAGTGGATGTTTACAAATCCGTGATGTTTAATAGCTTTACTTTCATATCGCCTTCTCCTTAAGTTGGTTGACCTTTCCGATATGTCTCCGAATAAACTCGATATAACCTACGGGTCGTCCTTTGGCGAGAGACAGTACGTCTTGAGCGGCACCGTACGCGAGTCCAAATATAAGACCTTTTTTAGCCGTCCTCGCCGTCTCTGCAGCTGAAAATCGATCTATATCAAGATGAATAATTAGGCCTGCATAAACCAAAGCGACCAGATTAAATATGGAATAACGTACTCCAGAAACTGAAACCACCGGCTACAGCCAGACTGGCCATCACGGTGCTGAAAAGATCCTTGCTGCCCCGGTATACGTCGAACACGTTCTCGGCGCAGAACAGACAGGTACTCAAAATGCTGAGTTTGACGCCGACTTTAAAGCCTTCCTTCAGTCCTCCATATGCTAGATGGTAGTTCTTGCTCTTGTGATACAGGTACCATCCGGTTGTAGACGTAGGGAGCCTGTGAGCATGTTCGGCTCTAAAACGTAAGCCGGCCATCTTGCTACCTTGTGCGAGACCCAAAGTCATTCCCACGCTGAATGCAGTCAGCGCCGCAGCTGGTATGCGAATCAATGGCGGGATAGATAATCGAGAATCTTTCCATAGCTGAGTATATTCTTCTCGAGTGGGCGACCATTGACGCCTAGCTTCATTTTCAGATTCAGCCATATTGAACTGGGCTACGAACAGAAATTTTGAGTTGCAATATGAAAGGGACAGTACGGCGTTAATGTGATTTAGGTACCTAGATTCAGGAAAAAGAAAAAATAATAATGTTTGGTGAGTTTAGGCAAGTGGGAAAGCCTCAGCAATTACCTAAGACTGCTATCGTATGGTCGGTCATCTCGTAGCTGCCCTGAGAAAATTCAAATGCTGAGAAAACTCAGATCCACTTTATTTAAGTATTTGACTACAAGCCATTTAAACCGTACACTTTACGCGGACACGTGCAGACGCGATTTTACCTGGAGGTACAGTACAAGGTGGGTACTTCGTATTGTACATCACATCTCAGGTACCTAATCTTCATCCCCGTCACGAATTTAAGAGCCGCAGCCGTTGCAGTATCAGCAAGTATCAGCAAGAAAGTAGAAATAACTTTACTCTTGATCAAATATGGTAGGTTAGTTTATTAAATACCTACTTGTTGTTTTTCTAAGGTTACGTATCCTCTGATTACGTAGACACCTTAAGGCTTATAGAGATGCCTTATAACCACTGAAATATTACGGTTTAGTGAGCGCGCATATGAGAACCTGTTTGTGATGTTTCAAACTTCTTTTTTCTTTTTTCTTTTTCTTTTTTTTTACAGACGCGCTTACGAGTGGCTCACTTACTTACTCTATTATAGGAAGTCAATGATATCGATTTATCTCTCCGCTTCAAGCACGGCATACATACAGTCTTCTTATTTGTCGATCCCTCAAAAACTTTCAACAGTATAGCAAAGGATCTTTTAGAAGCTCTGAACGCACGCTACGAGTCAGGATTGAGCACTTCTGTCGCCTCACCAGACAAGACCAAGCTACCTTCCGATCATTCGCAAATCAAGTTCGCCCTGCCGAAGATACCTACTGACCTCAGCCGTGGCTGGATTCCTCTTGAGGTCGGCGAGACAGATACGCCGGCTAGCAAAGGTATCAAGGATAACAGCGTTATAGCGTTCGCATTCTGCCCAGAGGGTGCAGATGAGAGCTATGAGCCGGAGTTTACGGTCGACTTCCCTAGCTTTGATGAGGATATGGAGGGCCAGTGAAGAGAGCAGCAAAGGGATGAGATTTATGAGATACGACTTAGGGTATGACGGCTAATGGCAATGAAATGTAGCTTTAGGAAAAAAGAGCAGTTTTCCTATTTTGAGGAGCTTGGAATGGGCAGTTCCTAATCCCCTAACTACCCAGTAGCTAGAAAAGCATAGAAGCAATGTTGCCGTAAACCGAGAGTAAGCCACGAGAACTGTACTGTAGAATCTCTGAGCTTATACGAGTTGACAATAAGAAACTAATAGTCAACGGCACATAATAGGAGTCAAATTAGATGGTCTAAAAATGCGTGATATTATTGCTATTATCGTTGATGATACGATTTATTGAGAAATAAATAACTTTTAATAATTCACATATAACCAAAGTACATTGTTGAAAATTATCATCTGATTCTGATTTCAGAACTAAATCTTTCTTTTGAATAAGAAATAGTAAACGTCAACATGAAGCTGTACTGTACTCGTTTTCTCTGCGGTATAATATAGGTACATATCGGCACATAACTGGGGCAGCGGTTTAAGAATCCTAAATCGCTATAATGTCCGATTTACCCTTCTATTAGGTGGACTAGAGTGGGACGAATGGTACCACCAGGGCTTAGACCAGGGGCTTAGGCATGTAAGAGAGCCCCCCTTTTCCCTTTTTTTAGGTACAATAATCAATTCTATTTTAATCTTTTTTCACACCTTTCTTCAAAGCATTTTCAGGCATCGCGTGCGCGTAATGTTTATCTTCTTCCTTTTCGAGTACCATTTCTTAGGTACGATTTGTTAATTAATAGGCTTCGGCCATATGCCGTTTTCTACATGTCCCCTGCGACTCTTCTTCGCAATGCTTTGCGAGCCCTCATTCCTCTCGCCGTAGCTTGTACTTTCTATTTGTATCTTTATCCAATCTTTCTTGGCTGTGCGTTTCCACTTCCACGAACAGACGATCGTAGCGTAGCGTTCCAACATACTTTGCGACAGCATGTTCATCCGACTTCGAGCAAGGCCGCACCGTTTCGGCTCCTCGCGCTCGGTGACCCTCAGTTAGAAGGCGATACCTCCATTAGGAACTATGATCGAGAGTCCTTTCCTCACTTGACGTGGGCTATTCGTCATCTTACCTACAAGACCGATCATCCATCCCTACGCAAACGCTTGCGACAGGTGGTTCACGATATTGTTGATATCTTCTTCGACGACATCCCCGATACGCTCGAGTCCGTTCGCAAGCGAATAGACTTGTTCGGAAACGATTTCTACCTTGCCCACATCTACCGAACGCTACGATGGTGGACTAAACCTACTCACGTCTCTGTTCTAGGAGACTTGCTAGGAAGTCAATGGATCAAGGAGAAAGAATTTAACCGGAGGAGTTGGAGGTTCTGGAACCGTTCATTCAAAGGAGGCGAGCGTGTTCCTGACGAAGTTGCTACCTATCCCGCCGAGGAATACGAACCAGCTGGGTTACTTGGCGTTGAGGATGATAACGCCGCGGCCTGGCGCCGCAGAATAATCAACGTAGCTGGTAACCATGATATCGGGTATGCGGGCGATCTGACAGTGGAGCGACTGGAACGATTTGAACGCGCATTTGGCAAAGCCGCCTACGAGCTACGATTCGAGCTACCTATTACCAACCCGGTAGTTAATGCTACTATCTACAACGAAAAAACGAACCCTGACTCCAACCGCCTAGCTCCAGAGCTCCGCATTCTCAACGTTAACAATATGAACCTTGATACACCGGCTGCAGACCAGAGTCTCCAGGATAAGACGTATGCCTTTGTAAACGATGTTATCAACACAGCCACCGCGGTCGAATACCAAGGTCACTTCACGCTCGTGCTAACTCATATACCCTTGTACAAACCTGAAGGGGTCTGCGTTGACGGTCCATTTTTTGATTTCCATACGGGTGGTGGTGTCAAAGAACAGAACCATCTTTCGGCCGATGCGTCCCGTGGATTTTTGGAAGGTATCTTTGGATTAAATGGCGATTCAAACGCTCCGGGACATGGTTTAGGTCGTAAGGGCGTCGTGTTAAATGGACACGACCACGAAGGCTGTGATACGTATCACTATATCAACCAGACGGAAGGTGATGAGCGTCAATGGCGCGTTACTCGATGGCCTACTGCTAAAGCGGATCAGCTCCCCGGCAAACCTGGAATACCAGGTCTGAGAGAAATCACCGTCCGAAGTATGATGGCTATGTACGGCGGTTATGCTGGCTTGCTCAGCGTTTGGTTTGACGAGGACACCTGGCAGTGGGAGTACGAGTTCGCTTACTGTACTTTGGGCCGCCAGTACTTTTGGTGGTTCGTTCACATATTTGATCTCATCGTCCTTGTCGCCATTGTGGTCTACGGCGTCTTGCAAGCAGCTATAGCAGCTGGTTTCGACGTCGACAAGTGGCCAACAGCCAAAACGACTGTACCTCCCGTTACTACAAACGGAAATGGCGTTAAAAAACCTATTCACGTTGCGAACGGCGAGGCTACGAAGGAATAAGTTCCTGTCTGTATAACAAGTAGCGAGGCTGCGGCATGGAAATATAACGAGTCATGAGTACCTTGTACTAATATAAAAATTTGAATCATAGAATACCTAGACAACTAATAGAATATCGGTATTGGTATCAAAGCGATCATATGATATGTGCGGGTTCTTTTCCTATACGCGACTGGAGCATCAAAAGAATCAAACGAATACGATTCCAATATATTTTTATTACCGTAACGATCCATCCTACACCGAATCACAGCTTGAAATCAAGAACCACGACGTTAACGTGTGGGTTCGACTCTATGTCCGCGGCGTTGCTCGACCGCGTGAACACCGACAGCACGTTGTCGTGATCCAGCCTCGTGGTATCTACAAGAGGCTCGGTCGGCGGGAACCCGGTCTCCCGCCATACGAGCTCGTACTCGGCGTAACCGGACGCTTTCGTCGCCTTGAGGATGGTTAGAACCGGCGCCGTGTTGTCCGGCAGGACGAGGTACAGGTCGTCGTCTTTGCTCACGGCTAGTCGGCCCCGTTTGCCGCCTTTTACGCCTTGGACGTGCGGCAGGGCGCGTTGCGTCCATATGCCTGTTTTGCTGGGTATTAGCGATTCTTAGAAAACTCAAAAAATAGGGGGAAATGCGTGAAGGGGAAAGAGGAAACGGGAGAGGGAAGAAGAAATGAATGATAAGTTAGGTAGGTAGGCTTACCTTTCGGCGAGCGATAATAATGCTTCCACCTCTGCGCTCCGCCCACCGCATCCCGATTCAACACGTGCACGCCGCCCTCGTGATCCACAGCCTGCGCCTCCTGATTCGAGAGCCCCGAACCCTTGGGGATCTCGAACGCCACTATCCCCGGCGCGTCGGGCCGCACGCTCTCGCCCTTCGCCAGGTCGGCCACGAGCTGCCCGGCCCCGTTCCGCCACGACACGCCTCCGTCGTCCGAGTACGCGTAGCAGATGTCGCGGTTGTTCTCCGCCGAGTTGGGCCCCCGCTGCTGCTTGTGCTTGGTGTCCTGCAGGTCGTCCCACCCCGCGTACCACACGAACTCCCGGTACACCCACGTCGTGTGCAGCCGGCTGCCGCGCGCGTCCAGCCCGTGGATGTACGCGTTGTTCTCGACCCCCTGGAGGTTCGTGCCGAGCACCGTGTACCCGTAGGCCCCGCCTCGCCGCGGCTCGTACGCGGCTAGGTGGTCGTCGCCGAGACCGGCTTTCCCCGTGCGGAACGAGAAGAGCAGGGTGTGGTCGAGCGGCACGAAGCGCGGGTACGTCACGTAGCTGAGCAGGTCGTCGTGTTCTGCGCCGAGGCCGGGGAGCCGCGACAGGTGCGGTGTGAATAGCGAGGCGGACCACGGGAAGGATTCGGGGGAGTGGGCGACGCCGGGTTGGGAGTGGCGGTATCTTATTCTGTTGTAGAGATTCTATCGTGAGCATAGGGCCTAACAGCAACCTAATCTAAAACATTATGTTGTTTACAGCATACCTATCGCAGTGATGGTCGTACGAGAGATGGATAGTGCCGTCGCCGGGACATATACCGATCTTACTTCTTACTCAGCGTGGTTCTTTTCTTTTTTTCATTTCTAACGACCAGGTAGGTGCCTAGGTAGGTGTTTCTTTATATTACCTGTACAGTATTGTGTCCATCATCCGTCGTCTGAGGGTAGTCCTCGAAAACGAGCGTCTCCCATTCCCCGTCCGGAAGCTTCCTACGCGATAGATGGATATACAGCGGCTCATGAGCGGCCTCTGCTGACAGGTAGCTGTAGAAGCTCGCGTACTGCCACCCGTTAAACGATTGGATGGCATCCTGCTGGAACGCGTTCCCGTTAAGCACGCAGTTCCGGTGCGTCGGGTCTAAGCCAAGCACCGACGCGGATGGCTCAGTTAGCATTTTCCTTCTTTCTCTCCTTTTCTTTATTATCATCAGTAATAGTATTTTAATGAAATAGATAATTGTTGACGTAAAGGTATAGATAGGATAGAGAGATAAGCCTTGGGAATACGACGCGCCGGTAGAAGACTGTAAGAGACTAGATGCAGTCACAGAGATCTGCCGTTTGATGTAACGATGCTGACTTCGAGAACGAAATAAGCAGCTCAGGATAGCGTCACGATAGATTGCGCGCAGCTTATACGCTCGTAGATACAATGTGTAATGCCTATAACCTAACTCCGAGGTATTTAGACGATTTTACAACCAAAGCTTGTATGATGACGTTTTGTATGCCTTGTTTAGACGACCAAGTCCCGGTGTAGCAATCGCCCGAGTTGGAGATCGGTAGAACGGACAAAAGAGCCTCGAGTAGAGATGTGATCCGCAATAGTTGGAACGTTCTGTTAGACGAATAAGACATACCCCGCGCGCGTATAGGCGATGAGTTCATATGAGATAGGGGAATCTCATTGAGCCATTACGGTTACAGTATGCTTTATAGCATGCTATTTCTCAAATGCTATATGCTGCTACTTCTCGTTTTCGTTTATGGCTTCACTATCTTGTGATACTCCATCTATTTTGCATTATTCTCCCCCTGAACATACATATGTATACAACCCAACCTTGCGTTCAATTCTAGATGTCAAGATCATGAGAGGGTGAGGTCAAGTATAGCTACTACCCAAGAAGTAGCCTTGCACTCAAAATTGTCACTCTTCGTGTTGATAGAAGCGAATATATCCCATCAATCTCATCAATGACTGGCTACTATAAAGTTCATTTTATACTCGTATTTTCGTAATAGTATATTCATCGTCTATACATTCACTCTCCATCTTCGTCTTCATATGAAGTAATCGTCCCTAAGCTTACCTGCATTGGGTTGACCCCGGCTCGTCTCCCCCGCATTGAGCCTAAAATGAAGTCCATCTCCGTAGTGGAGGTTGACCATCAAGTTGAACCGGCCAGGCTGGTTGGTCGGATCTGCGCTAAAGAACCAGGAAAGCTTGCCACACTACTTCAACATTCGGCCCTGAGTCCCAACCCCCAGAGGTAACATCTCCACTTCCCCTACAACCTCGACTGCTAACCCTATCAGCATATTACTATCTCTAGCAGGTGTCCTGCGTCTGGACCGCTAAGCATTATGAGATACGTAGCATGATAACTGCTAATGTCTTTAGCGAGAATGTAGTCCATGAAAGTTGTACGGAATTTTGTACGTCCAAGGGGACAAAAAAAAAGTATGGAGCCAAATATCTAAAAGCTCAAGGACGCAGTATTCTAACTGGCTAAGAAGGATCTGATATTTCCCCAAGCTTGGCTAACCCCAGTCCCCGGAATCCTTTGGTCTTAGTGTCCATAGCGGCCCATGGGGTAAAAGAACCACAAGGCCTACATAGTACGCAAAAGTCGGGCTATCCGCGGACTTGCTAGGGTCCCCTCGGTCCAGCGAGGTCCAGCGAGCCCCAGCGCCTTTCGTCCAGTCTTTCTGGCCAATCTGTTTGGTGGAAGAATACGGAGCTTACCCTTCGTCCATTTTCCACCCATAACGTTGATTCAACCAAAGGCGACTTGGGACTTCCAGGCCCCCAGATCTCCTATTCCGCCAAGCTGCGTGCTATCCTGACCCTGGCCCCCTGATAACGTGGTACTGCAGCGAGGCGAGAGTGAGAAAGCTCTATCGGCAGCTCACCCTCACCCACAAGCAATGCATTGTTTAAAAGTAAGGTCTCGCCGCTCGTGTCTTGCTTGGCCTTCGTTGTCAGCCATTCTTCTCGCGTATCGCTGGAGAATCTCGGACGACAGCAGCGAGACTGCCTTCTTACGACTAGAAAGAGAGCGCCGGTAGAAAAACAGGAGACGACGATAAAGGAAATAGTCGTCTGGGACTCGTCCCGCCGTCATCGACAATCATGTCGTCTTTATTAAAGTATATCGTCAAAAATGACGCCATGAAAGATGACCCGAAGGAAATTTACGGGTGGAGAGTCTATCTTTTGGCGTGTTCTGTAAGTAATTGTTATTTGCATAACATATTTTGTTTCTTGAGGTGACTAATGAAATATCCTCACAATAGGCTTGCTTCGGTGCCATGTCTTTTGGTTGGGATAGCGGTGTGATTGGTGGTGTTATTAACCTTGACTCGTTTATCGCGTATGTTATGTCTCCCATTCGATCCTCCCCAGCTTCGCCCTGAATCTAGCAACAGCCTCTAACATTATTCTCTACAATAGCACATATGGTCTAGGAAGCAAAGACGACGTTGCAACCGCTAATCTTCAAGGAAATATCGTATCGGTATTGCAAGCTGGATGTTTCGTAGGGGCTCTCGCAGCTTATCCCCTAACGGATATGTTTGGTCGTAGGCCGTGCTTGATGGGTGGTGCTCTCCTCACTCTCGCCGGCGTGGCCATGCAAGCTGCTGCTTCTGGTCATCTCGAGCCTATGTACATTGGTCGATTCATCTCTGGTATGGTTTATTCCGGCTTCCCGAGACGCACACCCCTTTCGTATCTTAATTTCTAAACTATTGAATAGGTCTTGGTGTCGGTTGCTCTAGTGTCGTTAACCCGATCTATGTTACCGAAAACGCGCCTCGTGCCATCCGTGGCCTACTTACAGGATTGTATCAAATGTTTATCGTTACTGGTAGTATGATAGCGTTTTGGGGCAATTACGCAGTCAGCATACACCTGAGAGGCCCCGCGCAATATATCGTTCCGCTTTCGATTCAAGGCCTACCCGCTCTACTACTATTTTCGCTCATGGCCATCTGCAACGAATCGCCGCGTTATCTCGCCCGCAAGGACCGTTGGGAGGAGGCGAAAGCGGTGCTCAAGCGAATCCGAAACCTCCCGTCTAACCACCCATACCTGCAAGACGAGTTCCAGGAGATCGCCGACCAGCTTGAGTACGAGCGGCGCCTGATCGGTGACGCTAGTTTCTGGTCGTTACAGAGGGAGATGTGGACTATCCCCACGAACCGCAAGCGAGCCATCCTCAGCATCACCCTCATGATTTGCCAGCAGATGACGGGCACCAACGCTATCAACACATATGCGCCTCAGATTTTCAAAAATCTCGGCATCACAGGCACATCCAACTCATTGCTTAGCACGGGTGTCTATGGCATCGTTAAGGTCGTGGCGTGCGGTCTGTTCTTGCTGTTCATGGCCGACTCGCTTGGACGCCGCCGCTCGCTGCTAGTATCCTCTGTCGGCCAGGCTTTCTGCATGTTCTATATCGGTCTATACATACGGATTTCGCCTCCCGTCGACGGGGAGCCCGTGCCTGGCGCCGGCTACTTCGCGCTTGTCTGTATCTTCGTTTTCGCCGCCTTCTTCCAGTTCGGATGGGGACCCGCGTGTTGGATCCTGGTTTCCGAGATCCCAGCGGCTCGCTTGCGGCCCATGAACGTCGCGTTGGGAGCAGCTACGCAATGGCTATTTAACTTTGTAGTCGCTCGTGCCGTACCCAACATGTTGGCTACCGTCGGAGCGCACGGGTACGGAACCTACCTCATCTTCGGCAGCTTCTGCGTATGCATGTTTTTCTTCGTCTGGTTCTTCATTCCCGAGACAAAGGGTGTTTCGCTCGAGCATATGGGCGAGCTGTTTGGAGTTACCGATGAAGACAGGTTGGACGTGACTGAGGGCGTGAAGGGGGGTGTATCCAAGGTTGAGGTCGAGCAGCATTCGCACCGGTCAGATGACAAAAGCGTTTAGACTGAACAGTAAAAATGAGAATAGAGATGCCCTCTGATATTAGCTAAACTGTTGTCATTATATTTGGCTAGCAATTTATGACTGACGGCAATATTTTGACTTCTGTCAGATAGACTGTAATAGCAATTGTGCTAATAGGAAATACACTTTTGGCTCGGCAGTTTATATCTCACAACTCCGTTTTGACATGTCCTATGTATCAACATCTCCCGTTTGATGTCATTGCCGCTGCCCCTGAAGAGGACTTACAAGTGCATCTAAACCTGCCCAGGAACTATATTATATAGCTTAACCCTCGCAAGCGTATGTCTATCAGGTACTTATTGTTAAGTTAATTATACGGATACACACCTTAATAGGTTCTAATCCCGAGTTCTCGATGAACCCAAACTACCCGCTCTCAGTACGTTCCCTACTTGCAAAAAGCACTCATCATTATTAGGTCTATCGAAACAGCGACAAAGCTTACATAAATTGGGCTCGGTTAGAACAGTCTCATCAGTTAGAAGGTCTGGATCATGTATCATCGCTGCCTTGGTGTTCTTGACGGGCTTTGAAGTCTTGTGAGACATATGGTTATACGGGTGACCCTTACTACAAAAACTAAGGCGACGGAAATACCAACAACAGCCGATAAGACAACATAAGCTGCAGGCCTTTAAGATATACATTTTCCTATATAATTATATGGCCCTCTGGCAGCTAGAACTGTCCATATCTTGTTAGAGAAGCTGGAAACATGATCCTCAAAGCATGACATGATGTCCTCCCTGGACGTCGTGGAACCGAGGTTCTGCAGGACAAAAGTCTTCCCATCAACTAAGCCACTTATTAATTATTCTCTTGAGATCCCTCCGTCCTCTTAAGAGGTTCTGGGTGAAAATATTGATACTATTAATACTTCTAGCAGGCTCGTATTCAGTAGCCATGATCTGCAAGCCATACGCAATATCAGCCTGCTGATACCAGTATGGATGAGCCAGAGTAGCGTTTTGGTGTCTCTGTGTTTAAAAGTAACAACCGGATCATCGTCGTATTCTAACATTACCGATGGGCGATGGCTCTATGAGATTACCTGGTACATGATTGGGATCCAGCGTGGCAATTGCAGTACCAAGTGAATGTTGTGCTGGGTTCAACTTGGTCAGGGCACCTGCTAGCGTTCGCATGGTTGGGTTCTGCATGAAAGTAATAACGGTCCTATGATGCCTATTTAAGCTTTACTACGGGCTTTTAAATAAGTTATATCCACGGAAGTGAATTCTCGGTCGAAAATGTATTTATTTGTTTATTCTAATAATAGTACATCTATTGATTCCCTTGGTCTTTGCCGCATCTCTCTGTACCGGGGTTTCAGTTTTACTTACTTCGGGGTCTATTGACGTCTGTTCCACGTGTCGATTTAATTTAATGACATAATTGCAGTGGAAATGACGTCTTGATCAAAGGTGCCCGTCTTGAATCTTGTTCTTATTTTCACCCCTGAGATATTTCCGAGCGTACTGGTGGGAAGCGGAGAAAGCAAATCCGGGCCCAACGCACATCCATACGTCTGTGAGGGGGTTTGGACAACTTCGATCATGCCTTCAACCGCTGGTGGTCATTGCTTCCGTAAATGTGTCATTGGATATGACGCCTGTAGGAACTTCCCAAGTCCGCTTAAGCCTAGCTACATTCTCCTTTTATCATTAGAGAGAATACTTTATGTAGAGCTCGAATATCTAGGTTATGTTCGTTTAATAAACCGTTTTTCTAGGAGAAGTTATGCAAACTAAGCATAATATATTAACTTGTAACTCACAACCGACACGAACTGATATATCAATTCCGAGATAAACCTCGAGCGGGCTAGTATATTAGGCGTCTACAGAACTATCTGCACACTTTGTACAATATCACGATATGACTACCTCTATCTTAACTTGAAATAGCACTCCGTAAGATAGGAATTGGATTTGAGTAGCGAGACAGCATCTGCCTTGAAGTGTACCTAGGTAGGTATATATCAGGTTTAATCTATTCAACTCCTATAAAGCTTATCCTCAAGACCCGCTGCCTTATGGCCAAGAGCCCGTCTTCTTGTGGTTATATACAACTACCTTGATAATACTCGAGCATTAAGCGTCAGCGGATTACGCACTTCCCAACCTGTCTTCAATCTATATAAGTCAAGGGTATCGTTGGAGAAGCCAGCCTCTAACAAGCCAAATGGCCATGCTGAAAATCATAAGCATAAAGAACCACGAAATACACCCCGCGAGTATGTGATCCCGAAATATCTGTGCCGCGTCTCCCTTGCTATTATTATGCGGGAACGGACGGTCGGGTATAGGTACGTTCAGAATCTTGCATAACGGCTCCCACCCCTGACTGACCTCGTAGAAGAACAGCTTCTCCGGAGGTACGACCTGCCTTAGGTGTTCCTCATGCCGGCGAAGCGTGTTCTCCTCGATTTTATCCTGCTGGTAGCGCCATTTCATAATATAATGGAAGCGCTCGCGCCAGACTCCGTAGACTTGAGTCTTGTGTAGCCATAAGACCACGACGGGGAGATACCACGTCCCCATCAGACTGTTCAGATAGCTCATGCTTTTCCACCACGACTTTTCATCTCTAGTCGTCACGATTACAATGGCATCCGGGTAGACGCGCATGATCTCGGGGGTGAGCGTCGCGGCGGGGCAGTCCATGGTTGCAACGTAGCCGTCTAGCACCTCCGATATGAGCCAATCAAGCTTCTTCTGCTCGGAGAACGTCTGCGCCTTCGGAGCTAGCTCCATGATGTCGAGCCAAGCTTTCATCTGGTTTACCGGTCCCCCGAGGGACTGGATCCCGGAATCGTGGACAGGGCCATCGAGGAGGATAGCGAGAGCTTCGTTGAAAGTCTTCGTACCGGTACGCGACCTATACTAAGTTAACGCCCGCCTCTCAAGGGCTACGACGGTATATGTACACTGCGCCAAAACAATTCGGCCCATTTAATCTCGACGAAGCGAATTCCTGGAATTAAAAAACAATGAAATTGTGCGGCTCGCTTGGACTTACATTCCAGCACCAATGACGCGAAATTTCGTATCAGGCGGACCTGGAAGCGATGGACCCTGACCCATTATGGCGACTTCAAACACCAATTAGGGGGTTTGCGACGACGCCACAAATTCTGCGATTCAACTATGAATGTCGCGATGTTCTAGAAACCCAGTTCGTCAACAAAGTTGTCGATGGCGTCGTATGGGCTGAAAATGGTGTCATCAATGGTGTCAATGGCATTTTATACTTTTGGCAACCGTACCACCGAAACGTACCTAGCTATCGACAAAGCTGCAGGCAAGGTTGCAGAGCGCCAAGGACCGGGGAACGTGTTGATGATGATGTGCGCTTCCCGAATATATTGCCTGGGTTACACTGGTGATCTTGATGGCTAAACTGCATATACTAGACATAGTCGATCACCCACTGCCGAACGGCTCAAGCGGCTTATCTCAAGTACACTTACCCGGTTCATAATATGGTTTCTGGCAGGCTGACCTCCCCCAAAGAAACTCCCCAGGCTCCTATTCTCTACTTCAGCTATAAGCGAACGCCAAGCCGGCTGAAAGCAGACTCAGGAACGCCAGGTCTGCTATATGCCGACTTGGATCAAGCCGAGCAAGATCAGCGTAATCCCCATCGTGCCAATATATAAAGCAGACCGATCGTCGCTCGTAGTTTCACTAGATGGGCTGGCAGGCGGGCTCTCAAGGTCCGCGCGACGCGGCAAATTGGTTCCCGGACTTAGATAGCCCGGAGACACAGAAACGTTGCCCTATGGGGTCTTCTTTTTCGGATATCGCATCGGATCGTAGTTGGAACGGTCGGGACCTTCACGGTGAAAACGGCGGATAATATATCACCAAGATACCAGGTAGTGAATAACTACTAATAAGGCCACTCCGTTAGAAGTTCACATGTTTGTGTGGGCTTGAGTTGGAAGTCATTTCGCATTATTCGTGTAAATGGGGGTTTGACTCAAGGAAAATGGGTATTAATAAATAAACGAACCCAAAACTTATAATTTCCCAGCACCCCCTATTATTTATTCATCCAGATGCGGGTAGGACATTTATTGGTTATCTCTTTACCAAATCGAAGTTCCTATGGAAGGTGACGAAGCTTTTTGAACTTTCCGAACCAATAATAATTATATAAGTGATACCTACTAACTACAGTCATATGAATATTACTATTGACGTATATTTGACCGCCTCTCAGGGGTTTCCCTTAAAAGTAAACCATACCCCGTCCCCTCTTTGAGACAAGACGATACAAGACAATTCCCAGTTAGACATATCTCGCTCTAAACCATATATTTTAAGTTATCTCAGTTAAGCTCAACCGCAATGAAGTGCTTTACCTTGAACACAGCAGAAGTTGTTTCGATGTCTTCTAGATTGACTTCGTGATAGTCTAATACTTTATGATTGCTCACTGAGCGATGCTTGTCTACACTTCACCCCTAATTCCATATACGGCAAGCCATCCTCTCACGACGAATTTCTATCTCTGGTAGGGCTCCCAGTAGATTCGACCTGATTTCGAAAGTCTCGCCAATAATTACATGTAAGTTAAACTCGCCAAGTTGGAGTGTTCATACCTATCACGAAGTTACGAGTCAACATAGGCTTTTAATGAGAACTGGAAGAACACCGATTATACTCACTTCCGCTGAGAAATAATACAATCAAATCTTTTCGGAAAGGTTACTTAAATTTAAAATCATCAAGTGAATACAATTTTGCTTGTGGAGTTTCTTAATCCACACTCCACACAAACACCATTTACTATATAATCGTTACATCGCAACCACTCCACCAATCCAGCCAATGGAATAAAACAAATTCGAACTTCGAATACGGCCTCGTGGCGCAACGGTAGCGCGTTCGACTCCAGATCGAAAGGTTATCCGTTCAAATCGGGTCGGGGTCAGTTTATTTTTGCCGGATCCAGGGGGAGCTAAATATTTCACACCATCGTGGATCGGTTTTTTGGAGTCTAGAGCTCTAAACGAAGCTGGGCCTGTGTATACCCTCAATTTAGCAGTGCGTCTGTCTGCCTTGCTTAAGTGGAGTACATGGTAGCCCTAAATGTCGTCTGTGTGTGTCTGCCCTGACTGCCCTCCGGCGCTAACAACGCAACTCCTAACTACGCACGCGACTAGTCCAGGGTCGAACTTGGACGCTTAAGTTGACATCCTAATTCTTCACCGAACAGCAGGCTTAAAACTGACTAGCTTAGCACCTGGGTTAGGTTGTTTAGAGGTAGTTAAGCCTAGTTGGTAACTATTTGTTGTTTCGTCAACGTTCATGGTCCTACGTGTCTTTGGCTTATTCGATGTGGAGCAGCCGGCTTTTTTTTGTTTTTGTTTTAACTAGAACTAGGACCAACTAGTAGTCACCTTAACTCCACCTTTCGAACTAAGCCGTCGTAAGAGCTGCTGCAGTTTTTTAAGTTCTGACATTAGCTAAACTGGCTAAAGTGATATGTGCCCTGGTCTAAGTGGTGGTTAGAGCCTCGTTGGATTTTTGCTTCCGTCTGAAAAATATTTATATGAAAATGTATCATTATGTGTAACCTTGGTACTTCGTACGAATAGCTTCGATGTTAACCAGGTAACTGTGATTTCATGTATCTACTAATTAATGATAATAATAGAGATAATAATAGAGCACTTACCCAAGTAATTGAGCTTATCGGCCGATTAAACCGTGCCTGTGACGCTTATTCGTTTTCATACTAGTTAGTCCTTCTAAACTTAGTTGACGTTTCTTTGGTTCTTTAGTTGAGTTGTAGGATTTATAATTTCGGTTGTAATTAACCTTTGCGAATAACCGGGGTTATCACATTTCCTAAAGAGAAAGAGAGAGAGAGAAAACTTTTCACTATGTGAGGATCCTATAAACTCCGCCATTTAGCTCTTTGATAAAGAGTCCTGCGGACTTATAGAATAATACATACTACCCAGCAACTTTCTCCCTGACTATCTGTTATACGCTAAACATCTGTAAGTTACCTTAAGTTACCTGCCTATGTGGGTACGATCGTCACTTTTTCGTCTTATATCACATTTGCATTAGTTGCTGCGAATTTTGGGTCCCTCTTCTGATAGAAGGAAAAACAAAAATTTGTTAAGGATTTGAATCCTTTAGGAAATGGTAGGTTGCAATGGTCCTTACCTTCTGCCATTTGCTACACCATACGCAGTAGTAGTCTTTCGACCCTAGTAAACCCCTCCTAGGTATTTCAGCAGCAGAATAGTACAGTAGTTGTACATATCTTTCCTATAATAGTAACTGCCTCATAACCATCCTTGACATTCTAGATCGGGATATCTTACTACCACTCAAATCGCAAATGTCATTATTATCTTTGCTCCGTCGCCATTTATTCAGTAAGCGCCTTTTCACGCAAATAATCGTAGTCATTTCGACGTGTCATTTTATAATTGACTAAGCTTTGAAAAAAAAGGTGACGATACTATTATGGCAAAGCTTCCTACGACGCTGCATGCTTATGTCGTGATCAACTATAATCACCAAGAATGCTCACGCAGTGAAAGCCGAGAATGTACCCGCCGGCACTATGTACCTGGCAGCCTGGTAGGCAGATAAGTCGAAGTACAGATAGGTAAGGTACCTAAGCAACCTTACCAATCAGGAAAACTTCCCGAACTCGGCTAGATCTTCAGCTTCCTGGCGTGAAGGTTGCGTCGCGGCAACATTAATAAAAAAAATAAAAAAATAAAAATAAAAAAAAGCCCTTTTCCCATCGCTGATAGGTATTGACATGTAATATGTAAGGTGTGAACTCGGAGTGTAACCCTCCCTAATCCTATATTGTTATCTCTTTCTAAGTTTCTTCAATCGACTATTATACCCTCCCTCCCGTACGGATTGATGAAAAGTCGATATCTCAGATATAGGGAATTACCGATGGCGACAAACAATTCTGATCACAAATATCCTAATTGAAAAACTGCTACATTACATCATCATTCGACAACAGTGCCGCTATATTCAAGCCTGTGCCGATCGTACTCTTACGTTGAAGTGGCCGTATGGGAATCGTGACGTGTAGGAATTTGTTTCTTGATAACAAAAGAAACAAAAAAGTGGTACTCAACTTTCAATTTTTCTTTTTTTTACGGGCGGGCAAGAATTTCATTGGCAAGCGCGTATTATTCAGTACCTAGCTGTGCGCTTATTCGACTAAACTATGGGTACTTCTCTTTTTTAGAAGCCAAGTTCGGGATGTCGGATTCTCCAACGTACCTGGATATGGTCCCGTCGTCCGTAGATCATACTTTCGGTATCTTAAGCTGTTACTCGTGAGACTATGAATAGCTAAGGTAGCGTCCGTCTACCTAACCTACCTCTTACTACGTACGAAGTGGATTTCCTCCCATAATCTTAAAATACGTACGCGTTCTCGAGATCGTCGGCACGGTGGAGCGTGCATCACACGAGATTAGCTCTTGGTCTATGTCTATCACTCGCATCATCATCCGTAGGAACCCGGGAGGCGCAGAGAGACGGAGTGAGCACTGTTCTCTCGGGAGTCAAGCCGGTGGGTTTCTTTTCTTTTTTTGTTTTGTCTTTTCTTTATCCTCGTCAACGGCTCTTTGGAGGATTTCCCTATGGCTTCAACCAAACTGCCGGGTCCAGGGACCTTGATCAACAACCTGGCGCTCCATCTTGGCACTGGGCGGAACAACGCCACGCTTTATTAGAAAACGCTCTCCGGGCTGTTTACTACGGTACTAGGGTAAGCTACTACGGCATTAAAGCCGTTGAATTAGACTAAAAGAAAAAAGCTCGTCTAGAAATTACCTATGTCTAGTTTAGTCCGCCGCTACGGGATCTCATATCCGCTGCCTGGCGGGCTTGAAGCTAAAGTAAAGGTAAATAACCCTGTAAGCTTGATTCGGCGCCACTCGCTCGGGAAGTTATTGTCGTTAAAAAAGAAAAGGCCCCCCGCAACGGACGCGTTCTCCCAATGCGGATTTTCACGCCGGCGGAGTTTTATTACGCCACGAAGCATCGTTCATGGTCCATTTTCTCATTTCTCATTTCTCATCCAGAAATTCGAATCGGTGATACGGGGGGAGAAAAAAACACGCAACCCGGCCCTTGATGCACTGCAGCACTGTAAGCTTTGTTTTTTTATTACTATTTTATCTTTTATAAATCGGATCGGACAATATTATGAGAGGAAAACTCGGGTTTTAGACGGTTATGAATCAGATGCACGTTGGACGGCGGCAGCGCTGTAATTGGGCGAGGACGTGCCGCCTAGACATGTTTAAGTGATCGCGATGGGGGGGAAACACGCCTTGGTTGGGGGCCGAGACGAGCAAGATCAGCAGGGGAATAGGGAGGACATTAATAAAGCTTTTGTGACTCTTTAGCCATTACGTTTTCCCACGATTGACATGATTGACAAAGATTGACGCGATTGTCGTTCAAATACGAGAGCCTCACCATGCAAGACCATGCGAGGTGGTAGATTGCTGGGTTAAGATATCGGCGGGTACTGACATGTAGATGGAGACTTTGTTGCAGGATACCTACCTAGGTATTGGCAGATATTAAAAGGTATTAAGCAGATATTATTATTATTATTATTATTATTTTTCCTTCGTATTTGCAAACTACACACCGACAGAATTCTTGTCAGTTAGAAAAACGGAGCTCACGATGTGCCAAGCCTATAAATGGTGATGAGTATCCTATAAGTATAATAGGTATAAATGGGGAACGTGGCTCGATTAGGAATTCGTCCCAATTTCTTTGATTAACGTGTGCATTGTCCCTCCGTCCATCACTCGGATCCATGAGCGACCCATGGCGGTCCATCACTTGGCTTCTCCGAGAGATCGTCTTGGAGGGTTTCTCTCACGGGCGAGGTGGACACGATCAGGAGACGCAACACAGCATCCGGTCCGTTTATCCCCAGAAAAGCTTTTATTACAAGCTTAATTACGGATCCGTTTACAAGGCCTATTGAACGACCCTATGGTAAGCGTATCGCAAGCGAGCACGTCCGCGATTTGCCAGTTCGCCAGCAAGATACACGACGCTCACACACACCAGACACACCACAGACACACATACAACTCTGCGGCACCACCACCACCCACCATCATCATCATCATCGTCACCACCACTATCACAAGCACCACCTTACACAGCCCAGTTTTAACCAATTATTTCCGCACCTTGCCAGCCCGTCTTTCGGTGATCGACTTTTTTTATATTATTATTATATTCGTTTCCCGATATGGCAGTCTTTTCGCTACCACAAATCCTTCCATTTCTCACCTATTCCATAAAATTCCATCTCCCGCATATGGGGGATTTGTGATACGATATCGGCCGAAAAGGTATCCCGCGCGGTCTTGGCTGCGTCGTTAACATCGCACCCTCGCAGGTGCGAAAATAATAATAATAATAATAATCGAATAAATAAAAATAAAAAAGTGGTCAGACTCGCTCGGTAGGAGCCGACGATGTCGAATAAGACGGGCATTCTAGGCGAGCACCACCACGTGGTAAATGTGGTCAGCTTCTGTCTTTGGTAGGTTTCTTTTTTGAATGACCGTTGTTCCTTTCGGCATGGCATGGCATGGGCGTGGGCATAGGCATGGGCATATTGGACGGGACAAGCTTCCTAAATAAAATCCGACCCTAAAGCCTGTACAATACAATACAATATGTCGTGTATATTCCCGGTATATTTCTCTATTATGTATTATATGTAAATGTGACTTGGTAGTAACTAGACGGCAGCACATTCCATCCATTCCCTGTCTTCCAATGCCTAATACTTTCTTTTTCCTTCTGATTGCCTGCCTATCTGCCTTGTCGTCCGCCTATCTGCCTGCGCAGAGTCTAGTTAATGTAGTGAAATGTACGTGAATGTAGTTAGTCTAATGTATGTACAATGCACATTCTGACAACCTTTTCCTGGTCTCCCTTCTTCTCTACCTGACCTGTCAGGTGCTACCCGTCGCGCTATTGGTAAAGACCCTTACATAGTGTAGTATCGTCGTAGTACTCAAGCCTAGTAGGCAGGTGGTGTTGGTGGGTCTGGGTCCCGCTAGCCATCGTGAGGTTATTGATGGATCGTGCATTAGAGCCAAATGAGGATGGATATTAAAGTTGTTAATCCACACGATCCACACAGACGATCCATCCATCAAGGGACCTTGAAAACCTTGAACCTTGCTGAGCAAAAACAGACCCCCCAGCAAATACAATTTCTAGTCTAGCTTCCCCAGAAACGGAGGGGGGAAGAGCATTTGAATTTATTCTTCCATCGGACGCATCAAAACGCACACAATCTTCTCTTCGACTCCAGCCCACGGCTACAGCTTCAACTTTTTAATATCCAACCCATCCCCTTGACGTGTTTGTGTTCCCATCCCTAGATAAAACAACAGGAACGACGTTTCAAGAAAACACCCTAACCCATCATCCCAATATATTGCTCGTAAGTTTTTTTTATTTTATTTTTTCTAACAGGCCCACGCCTCCATCCCACCGCCCAAGGTGAAAGAGAGAAGAATTCTTAGCTGACTTGGCAGCTATAGGTGCACGTAAATCTGCCGGCTATCACAGCATACATCCATCCATCCATCCTACCTAGAGGAAATATCCAGAAAACACATCATATATACCGACAACATGCAGATGCACACGTGCGGCAACTGTGGAACCGAATACACGACAGGTAGCTGTTGGTACTGCCATCCTCAAAACAGGCCTCAACTACCTCAGATGCATCGACATACGGTAGCGGGACACGCGACGACGACACATACTCATTAGAGCGCGGATGAAGTCGTCTCCGCGTCGAGCAAGGAGGTGATGGGGAGAAAGAGAGAGAGAGGGCGAGAGAGCACGTGTGTTGTTGGAGTAAAAGGGAAAAAGGAAAAAAGGGGAAAACAAAAATTGGGAACGACTTTTTTCCAACTCGGGGTTTCCCACGGCCTTGCGAAACCATACCACACTCGCTTAGTCTCCGACGAGACTGCTCATGAGACCATGCCATTTTTCTCCTCCGTTGCGCTTTTGGCGTCTTCGCTCGTCTGCCCGTTCCAAAGCCGAACGGCACACGGGCCGCATACAGACACCGCTCACCACAATACCCCTAGACGTCAATCCGAGGCTTTTTTTTTTTTTTTTTTTTGACGTATCGATACCGATCTACACCAGCTAGACACCGGATTGCCCCCTCCTAATACTGGACTCCGGCGTCCCTTATTACTACTACTACACTTACTATTACCTATTGCTATTATTAGTACCCTTTTCCCCCTCCACTTGTTTTTCTCCTAAAGCAAAACTTAGAGAGAGGGAGGCCCTTGGGAAGCGCCTCTCTCCCTTACACACCGGCCTCTGCTTCGAGGTCTTTGATTGCTGCCTTTTTTCTGGGATCACCTCCGAAGGCTTTTATTTTTGTTTTTAACGAAGACATGATCAAGGGGTTTTATCGAGAGAGGGGAAAAATATCAGAACCTCGGAGACCAGTTGGCATTTTAACCGGCGTTATATGATATCACTAAAGGGAACGGGCATTGCTCTTTTTTTTTTTCTTAGTTTTTAATTTTCTCGGAGGAACACAAAAATGGCTGTTATTTTTTTTTTTCTTCTCAACTTTTAACTCAACGATTTTTGTTGTGGTGTTTGTTGTTGCTTCGATGGGAAAAGGCATTATTAATTCGTTAGAAATTCCCCGAAGAACAGAACGGAACAGAACAACACAACTGGGCTTTATCGCGCGAGATACCTTCACGATTAAGAATGTTTAAGGCGCAGAATACTAAAATAAAATATTTTATATACTAGCTCTCCGTCTACGTACTTCGCAACAGTGTGGTGTCCGTTACTGCTTAACTCCAATAGAATGGTATTATAACTTAAATCTTCTCGAAAATCCGATGGTTTCGTGGTATGAGTTCATTCATAGCTTCATCTGAGGTAGGTGTCCAACTCACATGACAGCATCACCTCATCTCGATCTAGCAATATAGTAGGTAATTTAATTAACGTCCATTGCGTACTATTAATAGAGCACTACTCATAAGACGCCGGAGTGTTTTCCGTAGATTTGTCAAACACACCTTAACCGAATGCGACTCAGAACCATCTAGACGCGGCATCTATTAAAATCGCGGCGATAAGGCAATATAAAAGTTATCCCTCTCTAGGTACCGAAGAGAAGTACATCTTCTTCGTCAACCCGTACCATACCAAGGGTATATATTCTTCAGGAATATTGGGACTTTCCTACCGGCAACTTTTTTCCTAAAAAAAACGGCAACAAATATCTTAATAAAACAATTTTGTTTCTTATTGTATAAATAGCGAATCTAGAGCCTCAGAACTTAATATGATGGTCCTCCTCTAACCAGAACGTGATAGCACTTTTCTTATGTACCTGTCTGCCTTATAGGGCGGGGGGGGGGGGGGCGGCGGGCCGGCGGGGGGGGGGGGGGGGGGGGGGGGGGGGGGGGGGCGGGGGGGGGGCGGGCGGGCGGCGG